CATATCGGAGGTTGTTGATATTTCTTCTGGCAATCTTAATTCCAGTTTGGGATTCCTCCAGTCCAGCCTTCCGCATGATGTATTCTGCATATAGGTTAAATAAGCCGGGGGACAATATACAGCCTTGTCGTACTCTTTTCCCAATTTTGAACCAATCAGTTGTTCCACATCCAGTTCTAACTGTTGCTTCCTGTCCCACATATAGGTTTCTCAGGAGACAGATGAGGTCAGGCACTCCCATTTCATTAAGTACTTGCCATAGTTTGCTGTGGTCGACACAGTCAAAGGCTTTTGCATAGTCAATGAAGCAGAAGTAAATATTTTTCTGGAACTCTCTGGCTTTCTCCTTAATCCAGCACATGTTAGCAATTTGGTCTCTAGTTCCTCTGCCCCTTTGGAATCCAGCTTGTACTTCTGGGAGTTCTCGGTCCACATACTGCTGAAGCCTACCTTGTAGGATTTTGAACATAACCTTGCTAGCGTGAGAAATGAGTGCAATTGTACGGTAGTTGGAGCATTCTTTGGGACTGCCTTTCTTTGGGATTGGGATGTAGACTGATCTTTTCCAATCCTCTGGCCACTGTTGAGTTTTCCAAACTTGCTGGCATATTGAATGTAGCACGTTAACAGCATCATATTTTAAGATTTTAAATAAAGGTCATAGATAAACTTATCTAAAATGGTGGTTCATTTAACATGTGCCTGAAAAAATTGTTGTAATACTGAATTTGTCAAATACCTGCTGCGAAATAAGATAAAATGAAAGTTTTGTATTAACTTATTCTCAGAATTTGGAATCTTAAGCATATATTTTGAACAGTTTATGCTATTCTAGTTTGAATTAAATATTATCAATGAAACATTTTACTTACTGTTGTATTTAGGCCTTTGATATTAGTTTCATGAAATGTTGCATTATATTGTTTAACTTTTGGTCTAGAATTTTCAATTGATCTTTCCTGGAGCCTTTTTGCTTTCTATAAAAAATGAAAAGATTATTTTTTAAGGATGAGGAGTATACATGGCACGTCATAGTCATATGTCTCTCTTTACATCTGCAATTTTTAACTTCCATTAGTTAGCAGCTTTACTTTTTTGAACTTTTTCTAATAATACACTTCAACTTCAGCCAAAATGATAATAAATGAACAAATAAGCAGTTAAATAAACAAGAAGTCACTACTGTGAAAGCAATTGGCCAAAGAGTTTTAGATGTGTCAGAAATATAAGAAATTCTTATGAACATATTTTAGAAATCTGTTTGGCACATCCTTCACTTGTGTAAGTTAAGCATAGTCTCTACTTGCAGAAGCAAAGTTTCATGTTCTAAGTTTTCATGTTCTAAGATAATTAATAAATACTTCCATTACTGCCCTAGTATGTCTATTCAACAGATTGGGTGAATATAAGGCTGCAGTCAGACTAGAGAAATCCCCCCCTTTCTCATGTCTTCTGCTTTCTGTATAGTCACGCATTGTGGTCTATATATCCTGTGATAGTGGTTCCTATGCTTTTTAACTGTTCTACATTTTGGGATGAATTAGATGTGGTACATTTGTCTACACTAGAAATGCACAGCTGGAGTTAATGAGGGTGCGGCCCCCTAGGGCCGGACCATCCACTCATGTGTCTGGTGGCGGCGGAGGCCTGGTTCTTCATTCTAATCATTCCAGAGCACCTGGTCAGCTAGCCACTCGTCCGCCTTGCAGGGAGACTTGTCTTCCCTCCTTCTGCCAGGAGTGGCTAGCCAACCAGATGCTCCAGAGCGATTGAAAGGCTGTGGCCGCCGCCGCTGCCAGCGGACGAGTGAGTGGATGGTCCGGCCCCAGGAGGCTGTACCCTCATTAACTCCAGCTGTGCGGGGGTATTTGTATTCATATACGAATACCCCCATCTCTAGTCTACACCCTTCGAATGGGACATATCCTCTTCCTTTTATTGTGCCTTTCTCTGCCCCTTTGCCTTTAAAAAAAATGTGTGGGTACATTGCTATGTTATCAAAATGCCCTTGCTGACCACATACTGATCTGGGGCATTTCTTCCTATTTCCATGCTCTGTTACCCTCTATGGAAGAGAACCCGCAGCAGATGGCAGTGGTGGTCAAAAGACAGTAGCGGGACTGATGCTCTGTATTTGAGAAAAGTATACCAACGCAGCAACATTCTTGTTTGAAAATTAATTACCGAATTTTTCCATTTACAAGATGACCCAAAGTATAAGACGACCCCCCTTTTCTAACCCCAAATTAAAAAAGAAGGGATCAAAGGGCTCCCTTTTTGCTAAGCCTCATGCCTTGGCAAAAGGCAAGGAAAGCGTCTGTCAAAATGACTGCCGCTTTTCCTCACCTTTTGAGAAGGTTAGCAAAAGGCATGCTGGGTTTAGCAAAAAAAGGAAGGGGAGCTGTTGCTGCTTTTCCTTTTGCTAAGGAGGCAGGAATAAGTGCCCCAGCGCACGTCTCCCACTGCCTCCACCACAGGAGGGGACAAGGCAGCAGTGATCAGGCAGGTGGGGATGAGGCAGCAGTCAGAGGAGCCAGAGCACGTGTGAATGTTCCTTCGCCTATACCTCCTGCTGTCTCCACCCCTGGAGGGGACAAGGCAGAGACTGAGCTGAGCCCCTCAGTCTTGCTGGAGGTGGTGATCGGGTGGGTGGTGGGCAGGAGGCAGGCATCAAGAGTCACCTGAGCGTGTGTGAATGCTCCTTCGCTTCCGTCTCTGCCTCCTGCTGCTGCTGCTGCCTCGGCCACAGAGGGGACAAGCCCTGAGCTCTGAAAGAGGCAATTGGGTGACAGCGGCGGCAGCAAGAGGCGCCCGAGTGCGCACGCGTGACTGTTTCCTTACATTTTTAACACAACCTTCAATTTTTCCTCTGATTATTTTAGGAAAAAGTGTCATCTTGTACACGGTAAAATACGGCAAAAAAGAGGAGCTGAACGACAGTGAGTGAGGGTGGTGAGATTGCATGCTTGACATATAGGAAATTAATCAGTTTTGGAGTACACAATGGGATTTTTGTTGTACTGCTTGATAAAACGTGTAACAAATACAGTAGTCTCCCATTGGGCTGGATTTGATGCAGAAATAGCACAGAGGGGGGACAAAATAATATATAATGGCCTTGTGTCATCTGAAACTGCCCCAAGAGTCAATATTCATAAGGAGTAACTCGAAAACATTTTGCTGGTGTGACTGCAGCATGAAATATATAGTACTGGGCAAAATCCCAATGAATGACTTTGTGCCGGAGTAACCTGGATCGAGTACTCAGAGCATTTAAGTAATTAAAATCCTATCCCCCTTTTTTTAGGTACTGAGGTTTCCTAGGGGGTCCCTTTTGCAATGAGGAAGCGTTTGGGAGCTCTGGGATGTGAAGGAAAAGCATTAATAGTAAAAAATTACAACTGGATCTTGACAATGACCAGCAGTGGTAAGCCAGTGGTGATTTAAATTAAATGCATTCTGGTGTTCAGTCCAGATTACACCATGCAAAACTGCATGAAAATGATTTTTCATTCTGAACCATGGTTCCAGAAAGGTTTGTTTGTTTGACTGATTGAATATTCTAAACAATAGTCTTACCCTTAAAGCCTCGTAATTTGAAGTCCGAGCTAAGAAATTTTCCCAAGACTTACTGACCATTTCTTTTTGCTTATGAAGAGACTGAATCTAGAAAGTGAAAGAAAATAAGGATAAATGTAAACTGTCTCCCCCATGCTTTTGCCACTTAATTGCTATCTTATTTTATAGTTCACAGCTGAGCACGTTCTGTAAATAGCATTGCATTGTTGGTATGACTGGTATCATTATATGTACCACTTTTAAGGCATCTTACAGCACATTTGCAAATGTCACCCTATTGCAAATTGGAAATGGTGGTCTGAGTGCTTATGCCATGAGAACATTTATCTGTCCAGCTTTCAAAGAAAGAATCATTCACAATATATACACAAGCAAATCAATTTATGGCTTAATAAAATGGTTTGCTCTCAAATATTTGCTTCTTTACTCGCCTTGGCATAACATTTTTGTTCCTCCTGAATTTCTTGGTATTTCTGGCTTTCTAGCATTTCGGTTTGTAGAGAGACAACCATCTTCCCAACATTTTCGAATGCTTCTGTAATAACCAGTATTGCTTCCTGATCAGGGGTAACTGGCCTGAATTTTTCTTTTTTAAGCTCTGCACACATTTCACCCCAGATTTCACCAACCTTTATGAACAACATATGAACAATGTTAAAAGTTGTTATCAGGATGGATGGATGTAAAATAGTTTTACTCAACCTTTCTCCTTAAAAGGATCCAAGGCAGCTTACATCATTAAAAGAGAATATTAAAGTTAACAACCATGAATATACAATTACTAAAAAGGACCAAACAAATACAGTACCATTTAAAAAACCCCAGCAACACCAAAACATGTTCAAAGCAGTAAGGTAAAACAATCCATTTAAAAACCTCACCGGGAAAGCTTGCCTGAAGAGAAAGAATCAAAAGCTTAATCTCCACAGCTGTGCATTGAAAAACTCTGTGACAGAATAAGCAGTTCTTTAAATGGACAAGCTTCTCTGGGTAAAATAGAATGTCAGATTTCAAACTTCACAATAACACTTCACCATGAATTATGATTTTCTTGTGTTTGAGCTTAGGCTATCCAACCGGAAATGAATGTATTATGCCTGACCTCATGAAGTTGCCACCAAGACTTTCACGATTTTTAAAACAGGATACATTTGTTCTACTTTAATGCTATTATCTTACTTCCAAAGGACACAGGTGTGATGAACATCACCCTTAATACTTTCTCTAAACTTCTGAGTTTATTTAATGGAGTTTGTGGGAAACCAACTATGTAACATACCAGCAAAAATAAGTTTTAACAAAATGTCCTGCATTTTGGCTGTAAGGAGACAAATGTACAGTACAGCACATTTATGTTCCATTCATTTCAAGCAACTGAACTATAACCGCCAACTACATTTTAAACAGCTCTTACCTTAAAGTCAAGATACCTGCGAATGATGGCAAGTGTAACAAAATCCTTTGCAGTCAGGCCAGGCAAATTTTCAAACCCTAAAGTAAGGTATCAGTTACAATCTTAAACAAAAGTTGTTACTCTGTTCAGAGTTACACTATAGCAAGGCGAGTTAAAAATTCACATATTAGAAAAGTATTAAGATTTTTTCTTCTTCCTTAATTTCCTTTCTTCCTTAACAGGCTGGGAACCTGTTCAGAAATATATGTAGCACTACCTCTGTTATATGGACAGATGAACAGACAAATGGCAAGATCTGTATTGAGCTTCATATTAATAACTGGCTGGGTCAACTAATACCTTTTACAAATGGAACTTTTGCACAAGAGAAGTGACAAAGAAAAAAGAAGCCCAGATAGATTTCTTTTTTCTTTCTGATGCCCAGAAATCTGTTTTATTGACTTCTTTCTTCTTACCTTTTTATTTTTTGTTTATATACTTTATTGCTATATAATTTGTATTTACTTTGTTAACCAGTGAGAATAGTGCTTTGCACTAATTGGGCAGCAGAAAAATAGAAGAAATAAATAAACAATTTCTTGTAACTCTTGTCATTTTAGCCTTCAGTTTATATATACTGATTTGAATTATAGGAGAAGAAATGATTTCATTCTTTTAAATCCATCATCCCAATGTGTGGTATACAGGAAAGCTACTATAAAATACAAGAAAATTAATGGCCTTACCTAGTTTACATATTATGCAATAAATTTTTGCTCTCATATTTTCAGCAACATCCATGACAGCAATAGTGGGACAACTGGCAGGCATTGGAACCACTTCCTGGTTTTTTTGGAATTGGCCAACTAATGGCTTCTTTATATCTACAGCATAAAAGAAGGGTGTAAGGTTCTGCCTACTGCCAGATATTCAGCAGCTTTGACATTTCTACTGAAATACAATTTATGGTTATAAGTGAGCTAGGCAGTAAACCATAAAATAAAAGATGAAATAAAATACTGTGTTTCCCCAAAAACAAGACAGGGTCTTCTATTAATTTAGGCTCCAAAAACAGTGTTACGGCTTGTTTTCAGGTGATGTCTTATTTTTTTCATTTACAGCAATCTACATTTATTCAAATACAGTCATGTCATCTTCTGGTTGCTGCACAATAGCGGAGGGGCGTTTCATTTAATTGGGGTTAATTTTTGGTGGTAGGGCTTTTATTACGAGCATTCTGAAAAATCATACTAGGGCTTATTTTCAGGTTAGGTCTTATTTTCGGGGAAACGGTATGACTAATGTCTATAGTAGGCCTGAGCCCATGTTGATTAGGATTATTATCATTTAGCTTGTTTTACAGAACTGAACCAAGCATTTGTTGAGATATCATTTTATTCAAGAGGATTTGAAAGTGCAATGAAAAATTCACAACTCTCCATGTTTCTTAACAGAAGCTGTCAAACAGCCACACAAGGAGGACTCTTGGGCTTCATTCACCAGCAAAGACCAGCTCTTGACATCTTGAGGAGGGCAAATGCCAGGTTACAGAATTGAGGCATTTTATGGATGGCCGCAGGGAGGAAGACAGCATGGGAAATCTAGAGATCAAAAACATTCTCCGATTTCTAATTTGAGAAACTAGTGTACTCATTAGGGATATGCAGAGCAATCTCTTTCTTTTAAACTCATTTTTAATGAAAGGAGCAGTAAATGAAAGGTCCAAAAACAAATGACACCTACCCTTGAAAGAATTTAATGAATGAAACCCAGAGGTTTTCTGCATTCATATCCCTAGTGCTCATTTCTTTGAAAACTCAGGTTGTCTAATTCTAATTATTCTTTTAATTTCTAAATAGGAAAGTATAAAATAGAGGGCAAAGTAATGCTTACCAATAATTCTTCCAAGCTTATCATGTTTAACTCCCATCTCCTCCTCTTCTTGTCTCCACAAACTTACTAGTAGATTGGCTGCTGTTTGGTCTTTTTTCCCTCGCCAAGCATTGATATGAGAAGCAGTTTTAGGGTTGTCACAAAATTCTACTAATATTCCAAGAATCAGATTGCATACATTCTTTTGATTTAACTTCACAGAATTAAAAAAAAACATGGAAAGACTTGTAAATATAACTTTCCATGAAATATTTCTTTATTACCAAAAATGTAAAGGGTAACATCCTGACCAGATGGCTCAGTGTGTTTACTCTGCAACTCAAACTTACTACTACTTGGTTCACTTCAAGAGCAATCAGTATTTGGATGCACACATGGCTATATGAAGAACAACCACAGAGCTTTGTGTTAGAATTAGAAGCCTTAACATTGGCTGCCTACATTTCTAGTATAAATGACAAATTCAGTATTTTAGAAGACAACATTGAGTGATGTCTAAAACGGATCACAATGAATGGGAAAATGTCTGAAGAATAAAAGAGTAAGTGGTGTGATATTATGAAGGCATTTGCTGTTTAAAATTAGGGCATATGATATTTTATGTGTAATCTAACACCATAAACAGACTTCAAGTTCTTTAGAATAAATGTCCACATTTTTGTTAAACAAACACATAAAAAAGATGTCAGTTGTGTCATTATTTTAGAAGTTGAAATATGCAAATATTCTCTGACAAGGTGACATCAGAGAATATTTCACATTTTCTTCATACTTATTTCTGCACAACAGCCATTATTCCTTGTCTGCGTATTTGTACAGTTGAGAGTCTAAGTCTGTATTCTATGCCTTCTTTTCTTGAGGGTCAGTGCCTAGTGTGGTTCACCCATGTCAGTATAGCCCATTGCCAATGATCTTTGTGCCCCTCTCTTTCACTTCCCTGCCATGCACGTGGCTTCTTAAAGATTTCCAAACATCTAAGTAAGTTGTTCACCTGATTTGTATACTTCAACAGCACCATTTATTTAAACAGATTTATATGTTCTGGAGTATGTCCTTCAAATTATTTTGCCACAGAGGGTTCATGCAGAGGGAATGGCTGTTGTGGGTCTAACAATACAACTCCCCTGCCAACTGCTGTCCAGACAACACTAGGAATAACAAACAGTGACAAACCCCCCTTGCTTTCATGTGCTAATAGCTGATTGCTGAGCAACTCTAAATTATTTTCCACAAAAGGGGCCTGTTAAACAATCACAGATGGATTGTTGTACTTGCATAGTGAAGGTCTGAAGAATAAAAGTGCACATTTTCTGGAGAGGCCTTTGTCTCAGTCCCACCATCTTCAAAGGTGTGTCTGATGGGGACACAGGAGACAGCCTTCTCTGTTGCTGCTCCCAGACTGGAACTCCCTCCTACAGGAGGCCAAACTGGCCCCAGCTTTGCTATCCTTCCGCAAGCAGGCAAAGATTTTTCGCTTCAGGCAAGCCTTTCCTCAGTAATCAGCTACCTGTGTGTGATTTTTAGATAGTTATGCATTGCTGCTTTGACTAAATTGTTAGTATTACTTGTTTTCCATTTTTATGTTGTCCATTTCTCAGAGTAAACGTTTTGTATACTTTTTGATCTTTGCCTTAATATTGCCTGTTAACTGAGGTAAGATGATTCCTTATTCATTGTTCTTAATTTTTAAATATAGTCTTTTAATGATGTTAACCACTGTTGTATACTCATTGCTTTCAACTCTAAATATTCTCTTTCATTTTTATAAGCCACCTTGGGTCTTTTACAAGAAGAAAGGTGGGTTAAAATATTTTAAATAAATAAAAAATTTTAAATAATAAATAAATTAAATAAAGATATTCACATCTTCCACTCTTGCTTCTGGTATACTGTGTTTTTAGAATAAAGCCTTGTGTTTTGCAAATGGGAAAATGGAAGGCATTCAAGTCTGGCACAATGTGAACATCACTTGCATAATTGTCCTTAATGCAGGCAGTATTTTGCAACTGGATTTTGTCCCATATGATTCTTCTTACTTAGTCATGCTGGCATAGCACAAATGGTGCAATATTTGAAGGAAATTTTCTTCAAGTCAGGAGATCCATCACAGACATTATCAGTTGCGTAATGAGTTGTATGACTCAGCATGCAAGTGATAATGTCTATGGCGATTTCTTATCTTGTGGCAGTTTGCCTTCAAACGTTATGCAATTTGTGTAGCTACACAAGAGGATTTTTGATAGAAGATGGCATGCTTGTCATGCTTGCCTCTTAGTGGCAAAGATCAGTTATTGTCCCCTTCAAAAAAAAGCTCTTTCAGTAACTTTTATATTAACTTCCCTAGCATGTCATGTTTGATTGCAAATTCTACATTCAGATTGATTACTCGGAATGACAAATGTGTAGTGCAGTGTGTGTGGAAATTGCCAGGTCAGGGGAAACTGTCCTAAAGCCCGAGATTTAACAACCTGTTCAACTGCAGTGATCTGCTCTTCTCTTCTTTCAGCCTCCACCCATCCCAGCCAACATGCATTCTGTATAAACGCCATGGGCTATTTCTCTTAATTGGAAATGGTGAATAAGGAATGATATTTGCATTCCAATGTAGAAGAAAATTATCCACTGCAATGATGAAGTGGAGGGTTAGCAGCTACAAAGATCAACTGATAAATCAGCTGAAGAAGTGGACTTGCTCACATTAAAATATAGCAGTTAGTCTTTAAAGTGCCACTACATTTTAGTCTTCATTTTTAAATTTTGTTTTGGTTTTGCCTGATATGCCCACACAGACTAACACAGGTCCCTCTTCTAAAACTGATAATTCAGGGACACTGAACTTTTGATCAAAAATATTAAGAGGGGTTCTGAGCATTTGCAGAAACCCTTTCCTATATTGTTGAATAAGTATATCCTCAAACCCCCCCACCCCACAACAGTAAGTATTAGAATATGCTTTTCAAGCAAGAGCTGGGGCTCCAAGTTCAATCCCTGCCATCACGAGTATTTAACAACCATACTGTTCTACTCTCATATCTTGAGACCACTCTCAGCAATCAATGAGAAAGTGGAACCTCAAATCTAATGCATCACAGGAATAGTGATTGTGTTAAATCAGCCAATTTGCTTACTTTTCATTGTAGAGGGAATCGTAAACAACTAGTTAAATTTAAATTTATTTCCAAATTCTGACAGTGAGTATCATTAAACCAACAAATTAATATCTTAGGCTTCACTGTGGGGAAGAGGTAACTAATTTGCAGAACTAATTAAGCAGAACTAATTATTTCAAAGCATTGTAAAATGACTTTACCAACCGTGAGCAAATCCAAGAGAGTGAAGAGACCTTCTCTTTCAAGAAAATAGTCCTCTAAAATGGTACAGCCCATTACACAGCACCTTAAATTAAAATAATTTCAATTTTCAGAATCTCTTTTTAGAATCACTTAGAAATCAAAGGTTGCCACTATGCACTGGAAAAGGGGGGGACTGAACATTCAGTTAACTGGTTCATTAAGTACACAGAATCTTACTGCTATATTTTGAGATGGTATGGTGTACCATACCATTGTATTTTGTAAAAAAATTTTTATAGAACACTTGTTTTATGGAACATCTACTTGTTACAAAATGTTGCTTTTTAGCAGTGAAATAAATTGCATAACAGTATATTTTCTAAATTTACTTCTCTAAGAAAGCTATGAGGAGAAAAAAAAATCTGCTGACCATAGGGCTGTAGCTATTATTAGGAAGCTGCCAACTGAAGCTGTGGCCACACTGGCATTTGATCTGATTCATTTCTAACTCTTGTTTCCATCTCTATAAATTCACATGCTATATAAACCGCTCCACATGTTCAAATGCCGGGTAGGTGGGGCTCGTCAGCCATGGAAGGCAGCCCATCTAGGAGAAGGAAAACTCCGATTTCAAACCTCCACTGCCTTGTGGCTATATCCACTCATGAGTTAACCTTGATCAAAAATATTAAGAGGGGTTCTGAGCATTTGCAGAAACCCTTTCCTATATTGTTGAATAAGTATATCCTCAACCCCTCCCTCCCCGCCCCACAACAGTAAGTTAACCTTGAGGCAAAATCCGGAGCTGGAGTCCCGAAGGCAGCATGTGTCGCTCTGCCAACTCCTGCGACATTGCTGGAACCAGTTGTATTGGCTCTTGCCTTTCCACTGGACCATTTCAGCAATGTGGAGAGGGGGGATCTGCTGCTTGGGTAACAGCCTATCCTCCATATTACCTTACCTGGGCTTCCTGCTCTGGAGAGGACACTCCTCGATTCAGAGCATGTTACCATAGTCTCTCGAGACTGAAGGATGCCTATGTATGTTCAAATGTGTTGGGAGATTACACTTAGGGAGTGAGACTTTATCCTAGCTTCTTCACTTTGTAAAGGAGGAGAGAGTACTTTCCCTGGCTTGTAAATTTCACAGTCCTGTCAGACTATTGATATCCCCCTTGAGAAAATAAAATAAAAAAAATGAAGCAGCAGCGAGAGGCAACAGAAACATTTTAAGTATGCCAAACAGGAAGAGATCAGGCCATTTAAGGGCATCTACATCACAGCTCCCTGACTGATGCCCTGAAAGATACCAAGTGTGGGTTTACCAAAAGAGGGGTAGGGGCTCCCTGCATCTTTAGATACTCAATTAAGAGCTCTTCACTTTTAGACTAGACAGACGTAATCCTGAACATTTCATGGCACTGAGCCTCCAAGCAGTGTGAATGCTGTGGGAAAAATTTCCTATCTTCATATGAGGTGCAGCTTTCAGATCCTTCTCCCCCTTGACCATTCTTGAAGAGTCTGGCTTCCCCCTTATGCCCAGGATCGTGGCCCCAGACTCCTCGCTGCCACCTGAGGCACTTATTAAATTGACAGAAACGTTCACATACACAAAACAAATTGGACTGAAGCAATTAAAGGATCAATTTTAAAAAGCTCCTGCTGGCTGGGTGAAAATAACTTGCTTTCATAGCCAAATAAGTTGATTTTATACGTGTGTCATGTGCCCAGAAACTTTTGCATTGATTTAAATAATGCTAAAATGCAGTTCATATGACCAGTGTGACTGCAGCCTCAGGCAGCTGATTATGGTTTCATGAAAAGGGACAACTTGTGAAACACACAACTTGTGGTTTTATTGGTGTACTTCTATTTTGTCACATAATCTTAGGTCCACCTGTATAACAAAGAAAATATTGTGGCAGTAAAAATAAAATATTGATTAATTAAACTTGTATGCCACTCCGATTAGTGATAAACACTAATACTGTATAGCCATTAAATTTTAAGTTGCAGAATACAGTTGCTTAAAAATGAGTGGTTAGGTAATTTGTTCATCTGATGCCTGTATCACCTTATATGTACTGGTCGGCATTGCATTCCTGAGTCTAATTTAAAATGTTGGCTTTAATCTTTAAAACTTGATACTTTTTGAGGCCCTTCTTTTGTGTCCATTTGAGAGCAGCAATGCTAGTAGGTCTGAGGGCAGAGTAGAGACCCTTTTCTATTGTGCCATCAACATTTCTGGAATATATTATAAATACAGGATGGATGAGTTTGATAGTGGACTCCAAAAATAAATAAATGTCATTTATGTTCTCAGAGTTTTTCTTCATGTGTATGAATGAATAGCGAGAGTATCTTGAAAATCCTTAAAGAATAAAAACAAACACATGCTGACCAAAATCCTGTTGCTTTGCATAGTAAATTGCACTAGAAAATTGAATCAGTTGAGATTTGGTAAGTGAACTCCTCTGTAAGTCCTATTCATTTAAACAGGCCTACACTAATTGAGACTTACTTAGCACAGAAAGTCATAGTTAAAATAGACCCAACAGGATCTACAGAGAAGCTGGCTCATTAAATTCCCTTGAGTCAATGGGCCTATTTTTCTACAATTTACTACACCAAGCAATATGACTTCGGCTGTTATCTCCTTTCCTAAACTTTGCTGGCTTGGGCTACTGAAGAATGATGGCAAAGGGATGCTCAGATATGCTCTTTATGGATACATAAAGTTTACTCCTGTATTTCAGTTAAGCCTCTTGGACTTACTCTTTTACAGATTTAATATGTGCAGTACAGTTCTGTTGCTGACGCACTACTGTCAATATCTTTTATAAAAGGTGATGATTGTCTCAAATAAGAGTTTAAGACTTACCCATCTTTCAATGATTAACTTTTCAAAATAGCTGTATTTACCATAAGCAGTCCAGAACACTAAAAAGGAGACGATTATGACCCAATCCACTATAGAATTTCTGAGCATCTATCTTCATAAATGGAATAAGTATATCCACTCCTTCCCATCCAAATAGCTCCTGTTTGACACATTAGGCAAAACCACATTATTTGTAAATTATTAACAATAAAATCAATCATACTTTATGTTCAGTGTAATCACTACATTCATTGTTGTCTCCCTTATTTGCTGTTGTAGATAAAGCCCAGCTCTGCCAATTTAGAATCCAGATGAAATTGTTCATGCATACAGAGTCGAAAAACTAAAAGCTTTCTTGTCTCTTTTCCATTCACTCTTAGAAGGAAACTCCTAGCTTATTAAAGTACTAGGTTCTTACAAGGAGCTCTGCTCCCACTGCTGGCAAAGCTTTTTGATCTTCCAATGTTATCTTATGAGTAGCCCTTTTCCTATGTTCTTGCTCCAAACTGCTAGGGAAGATTAACAACTTGTCAGGTTAAAACGTATGTTAAGATCTTAAAGACTGGAAGCAAAGAACACTTCATATACACAAACAACTATTAAAGTACAATATCTCCCACTTGTATAGGGACAGGCTACTCACTTTAACTGTGGTTCCTGAATGATCATCTGTGAATTCACACACCTGCACTTCTGCACTTCTGCAGATGCTTTCAGGAACATTCTAGAGCCACTCTCCCCTTAGTCAATATACTGCTCCATCCAATGGTCTCTCCTCAGTCCACACAATCTAATGCCACAGTACAACTGTGGGTAGCATGAGACAGAGGGGAGGTTGGGTGCAGTGTGTGAATTCACAGATAATCATTTGAAAAACCCCATACAGGTAAGCAATGTGTCCTTCTTCTTTGTGGTCTCTATGATTCATACACATGGGTGACTCCCAAGCTAACCGACAGGCTGGTGGAATACCACACAAACACAGAGGACAGCACCACACAAGCAAATGATGCATCCAATTTGGCTCTAACATCCAGCCTGTAATGGTGCACAAAGGTCATAGGCTGGGACCAAGTTGCAGCCTTGCAAATGTCCTGAAATTGAGCCCCTTTTTAGAAGGATGTTGTTGATGCCACTGCTCATATGGGTGTCCACTCAAGGACATTGATAAGGGCATTTGGCTAACTCATATGATAATGAGATTTCTTTCACTATTCACTAACAGAGTCTCTGTGATGACACCTGCTAATCCTTTTCGTTTTCTTGCTAGCAAACAGTTTTCTTAAGATAACTTGTTCTATCAACAGAGAATGCTACAGCACATCTAAGATTTAATATGATGAGTGTTTTCTAAAGAAGATACTAGTGATGAAAAAAATGTGATGAGGACTAATAGTTGGCTTGTGTGCAAACTTGATAGTACCTTAGGTAGGAATGAAATCTCCATGGAAAGTTACGTTGTCTTTATTGAACTGTAAGTAAGGTTTATTGGAACACAATATAGCCAACTTCCTTGCTTGCCTAGCTGAAGTTATAGCCACCAAAGATACATTTTAGAAGTAAGAAGACTCAAACAAGCTGAAGGGCTCAACCTGAGGTTTTGTTAACTGAGCTAATACCACTGATACAGAGTATCGCAGTATTGGTGGCCTTATATTTGGGTACACATTGTTTAAACCTTTTAGAAATCTCTTCACTACAGAGTAACTTTTGATAACTTTAAGCCCTCTGATTGGTGATAAGTAATTTTTAAAAGGATTGTGAGAGACTCTTATCTTTAAGGTCTAAGATGAAATTAACTATACAATGTAATGTTGTTGGTAAATACGGATCATTTATAGATTTTGCAAACTCTGTACATTCTTTCCATTTATAATAGTATTTTCTGGTGGATTTTTTTCTAGACTCCCTTAAAGCCTTAGTTATTGAGGGAGAATTCTCCATATTGTCAATTTCATTTTTTCTATGTCTGGGTGATAGATCTGACTGTGGTGACACATCAGGACATGTGGTGCTAACGGCTATCTCAGACTGTCCATTGCTATGAGTTGTTGGTTTGCAAACCTTGACAGATAGGGCTGTTAGTTATTGAGGGAGAATTCTCCATATTGTCAATTTCAGTTTTTCTATGTCCGGGTGATAGATCTGACTGTGGCGACACATCAGGACATCTGGTGCTAACGGCTGTCTCAGACTGTCCATTGCTATCAGTTGTTGGTGCTTGACTGACAGGGCCACCAAGGAGTTATCAGGATCACAACTTTTCCCTTTTGATTGATGTTCACAATTGTAGGGAGAATTCTCCATATTGTCAATTTCAGTTTTTCTATGTCCGGGTGATAGATCTGACTGTGGCGACACATCAGGACATCTGGTGCTAACGGCTGTCTCAGACTGTCCATTGCTATCAGTTGTTGGTGCTTGACTGACAGGGCCACCAAGGAGTTATCAGGATCACAACTTTTCCCTTTTGATTGATGTTCACAATTGTCCAATGAATTAAAAGAAAGGGAAGGAAAAAATACATGAGGGTGACCAGCCAATTTTGTGAAAATGCATCTCCCTTGGAATTCTTGCCCCAGTCTGCTCAGGAACAGTACATCTACATTTTTCAAGACATCTTGAGGAACAAATTGACAATGCACCTTTCTATGAAGATTATTTTCGCAAAGAGTTGACAGGATAAGTAAGATATCAGTCTGAATCTCCATCACAATAGCACCTTCTTTGTAATTGGTTGTGGTATTCTTTAAGATATCTATCAGGCAAAAACAAGATAAAAATAAAATTGAAAATTGAAAAGAAAAACATTGTGGTATCTTAAAGACTGTTGTGTTTTAATATAGGCTTTTGTGGAACATCATCCACTTCTTGCACAAGCTAACATGGCTATCTCTTCCAAAACTAGAGCTATTTAAAATACCTAGTAGAATATAAGAACTAAGTCCAATAGATGTTGTTACATTAGCCGAGCACATAATCATCATCGTCGTCATCATCATGTGCCATCAAGTCAATTCTGACTTATGGTGACTCTTTTCAGGGGTTTCCAGGTAAATTCTCCTAAATAAATGTGTGTAATTTTGCCAAAGTCAAGTTACTTACGTGGTGTGTGTGTATGTGTCTATAATATATATATTATGGCTGTGCATGCTCAGTATTTAAGTGGCAGTCTCTTCATGTCACCACAAGGCATCACAAACTGTTCAAATATTTGTTTTCAGTGTTATATTTTACAACTTCCAAAGAAGTATCTGTGTTAATTTGTCTCAGAATGTTGGCAAAAATAAAGAGGGGGAGGCAAAAGAATACAGTACTTCAAAGACAGGTTCATTTCACTGTGAATTTTCAGGGATCAAAATTCATTGTGTCCAAGTAGTGGATTTTGATCTGCAAAACCTCACACTGAAATAAATCTGTTAAGTCTGTACAATGCTACAATATTTTGCCTTTTATCTCCTCCAGCTTTATTTTTGCTAATATGTTCCACACCAATCTATTTGAACGAAAGTTCCCACACCAGACTCAAAGAACAGATTATGACAAGAAACAATTAACAACAAGAAGACTTTCAGAATTAATAAGATACAATACATATAGATTTGCACCTAACCTAACCTAACTTAGCCTAACCACCATCTTGCCTACTCCTGATTTACATGCATAATCAAGATCCAAGCACTGGGTAGAAAAGAGAGACTTTACAATTCTTCTGCTTATTTCCATTGTTATTTCTATAATTATTGTTATTACTCCAAAGAAAGACTTAAGGCATCTTACAATCAAAATATGCAACAGTTAAAAGCAAAAGCAATAAAAATGCATGCCTATAACAACATCTCCTACAAGAACAGTGTAATCTATATCTTATTTCATCCCATGAATTAGCTGAAAATAAAATGAATATAGATGAATCTGGAGATGTCTGCCTAATAAAATGTGCTCTTGCTTGCACAATTAGCATATGAACTGTTAGAGGGGCTTTTGCAATTACTTTTGCAATCAATGTCTGAAATGTAAGTACTGTGGATTCTGCACAATGTTGTACAAAATCCAATGCTGTGGAAAGATGAAAAAAAGAAGTTACTCTGTACAAAGTTTTATAAGTGAAAAAAATGAGTTACAAAACAGTTATTAAAACATACTGTAACAAGTGAAATTTCAATTTTCAACAAGTGAATTCTATAAGTGACAGTTTATATAAACTGCATAATTACAGGCCACCTCAGAAAATGAACCAAAGAAAATTAAAATAATACTTTACCCAACAGTTGATGAATTGCTCCCTGATCACAAAGATCAAGATTCACATCATCATCACAAAGGGAAACAACAGGATTCAGCACTCTCAAGCTATAGCGCATCTGTGCAAGTTTCGTGCCACGACCACCTGTACCATGGAAACTGTTCCCTTGAGCAAAGAAGGGATCTGCAAATAAATCAAAAATGCACATCTTTTTGCAATGTAGAATATGTTCATTTGCAGCAGCTGCGATGCTGCAAGGGACTTTTGAATGAAATCAACTTAAAGAATACAGTATTGCAAACTTTACATCATACTTTGTGAGGCCAGTTTGTAGCTGAGGCAAGGTGTCCCTGGTAATTTGTTATTACAAGATAGATGTTTTCTAATATTTAGTGAAATATCTAAGTTGGCAATCGTAACATAGAACATTTAATGAAGATCAGCACCTGCCCTTCACAGATGGTGCCATGGTCCTATGGGATCCTTGCATAGGAAGAAGAAATACTAGGACAGGAAGATATTTTTTTAACATGCACGTGGCATGCCCACATTTTCTTTCTCCTAATAAAAATATCTAAGTAAATGTATCCAGACTGCTTCCTAAATATCTCTTCATGCCAATGCTGTTTCCTATCTATGCAAATTAATTTAATAAAGTTGCTGCATGTGAGTCACAGAATAAGGCATTAATTTTTACCTGAGGAACAATAGCTTTTCCTCTGGCACTTGAGAAAAATTCTTTTTTAAATGCTGTATTTTTGTTGAAACTTGTTTAACGTTACTAATTAAAGGCCTATGCAACTATCAATTTTGTTGGAGACTGCTGATGGCTGAGCCATTTCTGGGAGTGAATACAACAGGGCCAGCAAAAGATCATGAAAGGCTGCTAAACATGAAATTAAATATTTTGTTTAATTGCTGCAATAATCAAATTCCATTTCAAAGAAAAATTTATTGAACTCTTAGAAAATATGCTCCTGGATTGAAGGCATGGAAACTGTTTAGCACAGATAATAATATATCTTGTACCATGTTTTCCCCAAAAATAAGACCTATCCTGAAAATAAGCCCTTGTATGATTTTTCAGGATGTTCGTAATATAAGCCATACGCCAAAAAACCCTAGTTAAGCCCTAGTTAAGTGAAACCCCGCCCTCCATCATTGTGCAGCCACCAGAAGATGACATGACTGTATTTGAATAAATGTAGATTGTTGTACATTAAAAAAATTAAAACATCCCCTGAATATAAGCCCTAATGCATTTTTGGAACAAAAATTAATATAAGAACCTGTCTTATTTTTGGGAAAACATGGTAGAGATCCTTTAACAAGGTCTTTGTTTATTGTTGGCATAGTACAGTAGGCCTGTCTTGAATCTGAAAAATTATCAAATTATTTTGAGGTAGAGGAAAAAACATGTAGTGGGAAATGGATTCTTTTAGCCTTTAGTTTTCATGAGTATGAGAATTAAGAAGAAGGACAAAATAACTGGTGTACAACTGTACCCCATAGTATCTAGCCTCACAGTAAGCTGAATTCAGCTGTTTGCCCACAAGAACAATGTAAAAGCATCTCTGCATATTTACCATTGCCTGCACACCACTGTAGAAACATGAGAAGACGAGTATTGCCATGGCACATCATGTAGTCTTCTATCAACAAGGGAGCCACTGTAGCTAAGGTAGCAATTGCAAGAAGCTGTAATTCTTCATACTGTGCTGCAGACATGTCAAGTGCTCCTGACTTTTCATTTGGTTTTAAATAGTAAAACAAAGCTGATATAACTTTACCCTCGTGCAGCAGCTAAAAATAAAAAGGCATAAGAAATTGTTTCAAAGATGAAAAAATTACACTATAAAGGTAAGACGAAGCACTCTTGCTAACATGTATGATGTTGGGTGACATGTAGGGTACAAAAATATGCTCTGTGCACACTCCACACTCCTGATGGTTTTCTTTAGGAAGCAAATAAACAGTGTAGGATAGGATCCAATGATAAGATTAATCTTCATTGTACTGTTATCACATGTTGCAGGCAAGGTTGTCTTATTGAATGGTCATTCACAGAGGCAAGTCTTATTTATTTTATTTATTTACTGTATTTCATTTATATCCCACCTATCTGGTCGGGTCAGGACCACTTAGATTTAATAACCTTGCAAATCTGTTTCCCTTAGAACAAGCTCAATTTATTTTGGTAAGGAAAGAGAAATATCCTTTTCCTAGTAAAGCTTATTATATACTGCCACTCTGTCCTTTCCACCATGAGCCATTCAAGACCTTCAAACTTTCAAAATTAATTTATTAATTAATTCCTACCCTGCTTCTTTCCTCTGTAGAGGGACTCCAAATATGAATTAAAAGTCAAAACATGATTTATATTTTAGGTGGACAACTTCTGGAACTGCCTGTATGTAAACAGACCAATGTCCAAATAGAGTCTACATTTACACCATAGTTTAATTAAAAGTACATGGTCATGGGAAAACATTTGTTAGTTTCAGTCTACATGTCAGTAGATGACAATGATCTCTTAATAAACATATTTATACAAAATTTTGTAATCATTGACAATTAAAATGATTATTGTAAAGAATTCTGTTCCATTCTTTGATGTCCTACCTGCACAGTACATAAATCTTTTGCTAGTACAGTCAGCATGTTAAACAGCAGCTTTTTCAACTCAAAATCTTCATAAGAGTGAGTGAATTTGAGGCCTTTTACCAAAGGATTGTGACTTTTCACTGTGAAAGAAACAAAGGTTATTTTACAAAAAAGCAATCATGATTCTGCATTGATAAACTGCAGTATCAGTTATTTTAAAAAATGTCTAATTATTTACCTTCCTCAAAAGTAGCAAACAGTATTAATTGCTTGGCAAATCCAGTTTCCTAAAAATAAATAATTACAGTTAGATCGCAGTGAGCACAGATGTACCAAAGGAGAACAAACTAATTCTGTTCTAATCTCTTATGCTAGGCATAAGGCTATGCCTAGCAATATTTATTTTTATTTATTTAAAATATTTTACCCCACCTTTCTCCTTAAAAAAGATCTAAAGCAGCTTACATCATTAAAAGACAACACTTAAAACAGTAAATTTTCAGATACTTTCCAAAAGCAGCTGCACACAGAGTGTGTTACAATAATCCAACTACTGTACTGTAGTATCTAACTACAGCATGCCTCATTGTTACTAGATCAAACCTCTTCAGGAACAGGCCTCATTAGCACACTAGTTTTAATCATGAATGCAGTGGTTAAACTGCAGTACTGCAGCCAAGACTCTGCACATGATCTGAATTCGATCCCAACAGATTCAGATAGCCGGTCCTAGGTTTTTGGTTTTTTTGCTTCAGGAAAAACTGTTCGTCAGGATGAAAAGAAGCTGGACATTGAGGCTATTATTAGAAAAATGGACTGTAGGATGACTGCTGTAGAATCAGCGGGTGGAACTGACTTATTTTTTTAGGGACACTGTTGTCCAAAAGCAATACAGTACTGTATTTCCATCAAAATAATACAATAAATTATAGGACAGAAGATTTGAATTTAAACTGCATATACTGATATTAATGAAACACAGGAAATAATTTTTAAATGTTTCCTTTTAAAACAGCCAGAGAATATACTTACAAAATGCAAAATCATGTATACGTACAATCATTGGTGTTCCAGGGTTCTGAGCTATAAGAGTAGCTATCACTAAAATGTCATTTCTTAGCTGACGATCATAATGCCTGGAACCATGTATAAGTAAGTTTGTAAATGCTTCCTTCAGAGCACTGGTAAAAAAAATGACACTCAGTATTTTAGTGTACGCAAAAGACATTTTCTAATCAAATATACAGTATCATCACTATCATCACAATCAAAATGTGATATTTCTTATCTTTCATTTATTTCAAGGATAAGCTGGGAATCACCTGAAAGTCATTTCTTTCTCACAGAAACCTACAGGAGGATGACACTGCACTGCTGCCAAAACTGGGCTTGTTTTAAAATTAATTTTGGGAGGCTTCCTGGAGCACAACTCTGCTTTATGCATTTTCCTTGTCCACCTTGATTTAAGGTGAAAATGAACTACAGAGTGGCTTCTTTGCCCCTGATACTGTGGTGCAACAGCAATGGCTGCACAACTTGCTAACACTCTGTAGATTGTAGGCTGTGTGTCACCCACTGCTGATTTACTTGAATTATACTTTAAAAATATAAATAATTCCAGGAAGCTTGGAAGAAGGACGTGAAGTCAATTACTCATGCCCCTGGAAGTGACATTCAAGAGGCACACTGTCTCTCACCTTGGATATTTCATTTTGCTTTTATGGTGGATAGACTTATGGATTCGACTGTTCTTAAAACAAGGCAGTGACCATTGCCATCATTTATAGCAGCAAATACCTAGTATTAATTATGCATTGGACTCCATGTATAAAAGTATTTAATAAAGATGTTTATCCTGAACGACTTATTTTGTTAGCAAGCCAGGAAGCCGCACTCTTTTGTTTTATGATAACCTTAAAAGATTCAGTCAATACAAAATTATTGATTAAAAATGAATGTTTCCTCTGTCTTTTAAAAGTATCTTTGAAATACACATTTAAAAAAAAAACTTCAGTGGTGATATCCTGTTGCTTAATTACACACATGATAGGCATACACTGTACACTCAGTTTATTCTTGTTGGAAATTAATTAGTTGCTACTGGGATTCTTATGGATGCATACACCTGCTGGCTTGGCTCACACTTGAGATTTCAGAGGGGACTTAATTGCCAACTAGAAACCACTGAATAATATGCTGTTTTCTTTCTGCATGCTAAGGATCAGGATTTTGGCCCATAAACGATGAACTGGAAAACTATTTTGGTGCACTTAACTGTACACATTCCAAGTTACTAAGCTGATTAATAATTTCTTCCTTGGATGTTTTTTCTAATAAATTCCAGAGGATTTCTGAGGATCGGAATAGCAGCTGCCCAGAAGAGTCAGGATCAGTTAAATGAGCGCATAATCTTCTTGGTGCTTCAGCATTCATCATAAGTTTGCAGTTTTCCTCTGGAATATGACAGGACCAATAATTAGCTTCATATTGTTGTTTTATGAAAAAGAATGCAAAATAAGTGAGGTTTGAAATAATTATATTTTTAGAACATAAATTATACTAACCCGAATTAGAAAGATGCTGTAGAGTTTTAATTATCCATAATTTCTCAGGAAGTTGATTTTCAACTAAAGTTAATGACAAGACCAAGGTTTCTGCTAAACCTGCTAATTCCACCATACGCTTTTTGTAGTTTGTACTTACTGGCTGGTAAACTGCATACACAACAGTAAAAAGAAATAAGTTACATTATGTATGTGACATTAACTTTAAAAAAGATTTCGTGTTTTAAAAACTGCAGAAAAGTGTTGTTTCCACACGAAATAAATATCTAAATCTATTCTTATATTAAAGGCAGTTGGAATTTTAGGCCTAGCATTCCTAAAACGTCACCCTGATAAATTAAACATCTTCTGAATAAAACTATTTTTATTTAATTTATTAAACACTACTTTACTTTATTTTAAAAATGGGTCCATTTATTTTAAAACAACCAGTTTTCAGGTTTTATACACCATGCTCTCTTTTCTCTCCAGGTCTCCTGTCCTCTGCTTATATACAAGTAGTTAAGTCATTATTTGCTCTTTTGATCAAACTATACATTACTATCATAACAGGGCAAACTACAGTATGCCTTAAGACGTTTCACCAAAAACAGGATTACAAACCAGTTTGTAATATGAGTCAGGCTGTGACAAGCTTACTACACTTTTTAAAGTAGGCATCTATATATTCATAAAAATAAATGTTACCTTCATATTCTTTCTTTGGTGGTTCAGTGTGGCAAAAGCTAATGACACATTTACAGATTTGTATTCTTACTTCAGAGCATGGCACCCTCATCAAGTAACCTGAAGAAACAGTCAAATCATGAGACAGATATAACATACGGGTTACATTTCCTACATGAGAAAAAGATAAACAGTACTTCTTGATATTTTATTGTGAGATTACCATATCCAAAGCTGGGAAAGGGAGAAATGCCTTGATTATAATGAATAATAGTTATCTGCCATCAAGACAATTCTGACCTTTTCCAGGGATTTCTTGCCACAGAGTACCCAGAAGTGGTTTACCAGTCCCCTCTTCTGGGGCAGTCTGAGACTAAGTAGTGTGCCCAAGGCAACACTGACTACACTCCTGGAGGACACAGTGACCAATCAAACTCTTCACCTATGGCTCTGCAGCCTGGCACATAACTCACTGATCTATTTGTCCAGTTCGTATAATGATGCTCTATTGCTTATACGGCCAAAGAAAATCACTTGTACTGTAGATAACTTTTCTAGCATTCCTCTATGAAAACCTTAGGCCCTCTTAGACCAAGAAGCAGTTTTCTACAGAGCTGAATGAGAGTGTAGGAAACAGCACTGCAAACAGGAGGGAGCTAGGAAGGAAGTCTATTTCAGAAGTACAAGAATAAATGAAGAAACCTGGATAGTTTTGATTGATTTATAAGCATAAATAAAAGGAAAAAAAATATATTCCTGTAAATTTAAGAATTCAGCCACAGACCATTTGTAAAATGTGTCGTGCACAACATTTGCTTGTTACAAAACTGCATCAATTTCTTGGATTTGGAATAACCCGTGTCCAACAATCATCTATACCGTAGTATTTCAGTTAATTTTTAACACTCAAAGACATTTCTGATAACAGTCCAAAATTACCCAGTTGTGCAATTGATTGTTGAATGTCTTTGGCATAGTTTACTTCATCAGATAATTTCTTTTTGTAAAATGGTAACCTACAAAATGTAAACAAAACAGTTATTATAAACGTATTTAAAACAGCATGGGTGACTCATGATACTGGGAGAGGTCAGTCCTCTAGATCATCAAAAACAGGCGTTAGAGAGTGTTTCAGCAGCTGAAGTCCAGTTCTGTGGATGTACAGGAAGCTGCAAAGTTGTGGGGAATTATTCTCCCTGGTTTGGCTTAATCATTCCATTCCATCAAAGGAATACCACTATTGGATACTGCCCAGTGACAGACATTCAGTACACCATGCAACCAACAATGTAAATCAAAGATGTGAGAGAATGAAAGTAACTTTTTGGCATACTCTCGATGACTACTCATTCCATTGCAATATTAATAGTTCTACCAGGAACACATGAAAACATCTCAAGTTGATATATAGCATGGAACTTTCAGAGGCCTCAAGAGAAGGACTTCTCTGAGGCCCCTCCCGAATTCTGGAAACCCTGTCTAGGAGATACTAGAACTGCTCACTCCCAGCTGTCCTTTTGTAGAAAGGAAAAGACCTTTATATTTAAGTATGCCTTTGATAGTTAATACACTTCCAATCAAAGGATTTGCTGGTGTGTTGGGTTTTTTTTAAAAAATGTAAATCATTAGCAGTATTTTAATTAAAAGATTTTAATTTTAATTGCCTTTAAGTAAGTTTAATTTTTCAAAAATATTTTAACTTACTAGCTTGAATCCTGTTGCTGGAACTGTGCCATGCAACTTGGATGTCATCACCTACACTTATGCCACAACTGTTTCAGGAGAATTAAAAGCTTCCTGTTCCCCCTCCCTATGTTCTGGGAATTCCTAAGGATCCCCTTTATCCTGGGGAAGCCTTCTGGAGCCAAAGAACAGGGTAGGGAATAATTTAAAACCTGAACATTGCTGCTGCCTAAATTTACATTTTTAAACTAGATTAGCTTGCACTGAAAATAGCTCAGATTAGAAGCTTTCAATGACAGCAGTAATCTACAGTACTTAAAAACAAAAAGCTTTTTGAATGTGTTTAAAAACCAATTTCTTTTAAAAAGCTGAGAAACATGCTGAGAAGTCAGGTTTGAAGACTAAATGTGGACACAAACCCAAAAAAGATCTGTGCGCATTCAGCACCAAATGGCTGAATGAGCACAAATGGGGGAGGCACAATTGCTCAATCTGGATGAGTTTAGTTATTTCTGAGCCACAGTTCCATAAAGGTTCTTCTTTCATGATGCCAATAAGGGAATTTCAATACATTTACAGAAGGCTTCTGCGTGTTTTGACTGTACTGAAGGTTCTTTTCCACAGCTTTTTAGAAAACTTGATATGTTAATCTCCTAGTGACAATAATCTCTGGGCAGTTTATCTAAGGCAGTGAGAGACATGTGGGAATCCTGCTCCTTCCTTGTAGCTAAGGCATAACAGAGCCTCAAGAGCTCTAATGGTAAATACAGTCTCAGTGAACCATTACTCTTGGAATATTTGCAGAAACTTGCTATATAAAAAGAAAGCTGACATAGCACATGAACAGGAGAGCAGTGAATTCCAGAAGAAGCGTGTACATAAAAAGCAGCTTTAAAATAAAGAATGAAATGAAATACTTACCCATGTAATTTAAGAATTTCGCAAGTAGGTTGAATAAAAGCATTGTCAAGTTGAATTTTTTCTGCACATAAGTTTAAAATTTTAGAGATTTGTGTTAAATCTTTAAGAGGCTTGTAATGATTAATAATTAAGGAAAATTGTGAGGATAAGAGAAAACAAAGTGTTGTGTAATAAAAGTGCTATGTAAAAAAAGAGAGTACATTCAATTTCTAAATTATATTTATACACAAACTTAAGCAGGCAGTAGCTACCATCCTCCCAATAGTGAAAAGGATGCACAAAAGCTAATTTATCCACGAGTCATTCTAAAAGAGGATCAAACTATTTATACAAACTTAAGAGTTAAACAGATTGATTGATCTGACACCCTCCTCCTTAAATATCTTTCTTGGGACAGCTATGGGAGACAATACAGTAGGGTAGGGTGGAAGTAGCTTCTACTGTACTTTCATTCTTTGTTTGTATCATAAAAAAGAAAGAATGCAGAAGGTACTTCCACAGAATGTTTGTAATGGAAAATAGCACTAATGAATTGTCTCCCAAGAGATGGTACAAAATCTAGTAGACCCAATGATTCAACAGGTCTGTTTTAGAGATTGAAATAATTTTGACTATCCCATGCAAATTCCTCATTATCTATTCCTTGCCCACCTTCCTTCAAATAAAATTTCCATAACAACCTAATAGAATTATCATAACATGATAAAACATAATTCATAATATTCAGCATGCAGGCCATTTAAGTGTCTACATACACTGGCGCCATTACTTTGAAACCAAATCATTATACCAATTTAAGTCTGCATTTATTTTTACTATGTGGCAAATACTAGCAAATTGTTATTTGTCCAGATTTTTAACCAATTCTATCCTGAAAGATTCAGGAGATGTAAAAACACCTCATAAATAAAAAAAATTAAACAATTGAAAATAATCTACACTAACAACAAACTTGCTGCAAAACTGTATCATAGGCTGTTGCTTTTCTTAAAATAGTTACCTATTTGACACATTTACACATTAAATTCAGTAGAATACAATCCTTTTTTTGTTGTTGTTCATTCTTTGATTTTCCATTTCAGCTTGCTACATAGAGAGCAGAAGAGGATACAATCCCATGTTCAAAGCGTTTTGCAACTTTCTTTACTGCTTGGAGCTGTTCTTCTGAACTACTCTATCAAAGAATAAAACAAGATGGGGCGACCACAATAAATGCATGTATGAAAATGTGTTTTAAAATACAGACTGAAAAACTGTACTATTCAAGGCGACAATAGGGGGACCAAATAGACGGTTAAGTAATTAGTAAGGACCATAAAACTGAACAATTTGGTTACAACATTAAAGTATGGAGTGGGAAGCCTCTAAATGAGGTCTTTCCTTGGATCTTGACTAGTCCAAGAAGAATAAACACAGAATGAGGCAAACAATTGTGGAAAGGACCATTAGTAGCTGGTGCAGGTATGTAGGTGACTGTACTTTACTCAAAACCTTGAAAAGGGCAGCAAAATGGCCCAGGGATTCCATAACAACTTGTCCAGAAATCAAATAAAGCACTGAACTCAAGGTCATCAACTCTTATGATGGGGTACAGCCTCTCACAAGGCACTGCTTCCCAGAGTGCACAGTCTGGAATAGAGCATGTCAGATATGGAAGCTGGCTAGAAGGCACAGTGGTTGTTCACAATGATATGAAGCTCAATTTGAATATAAAAGGGAATGGATGCAACTCAGCCAACCAGCCAGACATACAAAAACAACAAGGCAGCAAGGGGGTAGGAGATCCTTTGGTCATGGAATACAGTATGTGTTAGATACTAGAGCAGGAGAAGAATGACACTAGGGAGGACTGTAAAGAAAGGCTTGAGAGTATGTCTCTTTATCTTGATTCTCGTAATCAGAGAAAAGCAGTGTCTGACTCTCTGTAGTCAAAAGCAGCTACAGATTTCCAAAGTAAAAGATAAAGGGATTAATGGCTCCAGCTTGACCCAAGATGAGACGAAATGAATGAATGGATAGCGTGATTTCAGAAATAGAGATTCCTGGCCATTTACTTTACACAAGTAAAGCCTGACAGATAATCATTCAACCTTTATTTAAAATTCTGCAGTGAATGCAAATCCACCATCTTCCAAGGTAGTTCAAACAGCTCTTACTTGCAGAGGTTCATGCTAAAACTTCAACATTGATAATGTTATAATACTGTAATATTGAAATACTAAGAAAAACTTCCCAACTGTAACAGCTATTCAACAATGGAATGAACCTTAGAAACAATGCAAACACCATATCTCTGAGAAAGTAGATAATAATATGCAGGGGGGAAAAGAATACCGTTAGTGACAAGTTTGTACAGTATTTTAATGTATTCACGAAGGCAGTATTTTAACCTGTTCACTTAGCTTTGGAATTACTTTCCATAATTAGACTATGTTTTCAATCAAGGCTGTAGATCAGTAGTTCCCAACCTTGGGTCCTCAGATGTTCTTGCACTAAAACTCCCAGAAGCCTTCACCACTAGCTGTGCTGGCCAGGATTTCTGGGAGTTACAGTACAAGAACATCTGGGGACCCAAGGTTGGGAACCACTGCTTTCGACAGACCAATATAAAAGTCTCTTCATGGATTCTCTGGCTAGGATTATGACTTAGTAGTTAGGAATGCACTGCATTTATCTGGAGTTCTCAAGCTTTAGATTAATCAGCAAAA